TGGTAGCGTCCTTTTAGAGTACTTACAAGAACTAAGGAATGAATATGAAAAGTAGTAGTAGCTGGGAAAGCTGATGCACCCTTCCTAACGAAACCAAGCAAAGGCTGAGAAAGAGACGCACGAAGACTGCGGCACTTTCGGGATATCATAACCCTACATTGTATTAGTCCAAAGCCAGTTCATTCGGTAAATTTAGCATCATTTTGCGACAGATTAAACACCTCTACCGCGGTATTTTCCTTGTAGTCTATAACCGCCTCCTCGATTTCTCTAATCATTCTCACCCTTGTCTCACCTGTAAATCGCTTTCCGTTAGTCAATCCTTTGAAAAATAACCCAGGAATAGCTCCGCTTAAAAACACAGTAATCGTTGATGGCACTGCTGAAATGCTCTTCGCATCAGTTACTAGAAATACAGAGCAGTGAACCAAAAATAGAAATATCAAAATAATGGCCATATTGCAAAGCATGAGGTTTACTTCACCCCTAACTGGTGGAACTGTGTTATTTGAATTTGACGCGCCACTACAAATGCGCCAAAATAGATCTTCTGGAATTGCATCGTGCTCGTGTTTTCCATCAAGAGTCTGCCACTTCTCCGAAATCATTTCCTTTACATCTCGGTAGCGCATTTGCAGATTATAGTAACATAGATAAATGTTTGTTAAAGCAACGATAGATAATGCTACAAATGGGCCCACGATTGACGCATTTAACACAAGACCTAAAATCACCAAACCAAACATGCGAGTGATACATCGGCAAGACAGGCCCCCTACCCAACAGCCGTCTGTTAATATTGCCTCTACAAGTAGATGAAAACAAAATACAAAAAATTCAACAACAAACAACTTTAAAATATGTGTGTGAAAAAGAAGGTTTTCGTTGCGTATTTCGTGGATACGTTTTCTTGCTATTTGCAATAGTTTCCTAAAACAGACTTGGATCAGACTAAACCACGGTGAATACCAAAAAATAAGCAAGACTAATCCTACTAACAAAAGACAGAGGCATATCCCTCCAAAAATGCCACCCACAACTATGACTGAAACAAAATCCCAGAATAACACCCACAAGGCAATGAAAGGAGTTCTATCTCGTTTCTCAATACCGTAACATGTAAAGAACTTTATAGACCCTACCAGTGCTTTTTGGTGAAGGGTAATTAAACATGAAGCTAACTTGTAAC